TAGTCTATGCATTAAGGCATCGTATTGCGACTCGCAGATCTCGTTCGTACGTCTCTAACACAGTACATCTTTAACAAGTCTAATTGCAAATCAAAGTTCACCCTTCTAAATAAAACTAAAACCTAAACCAAACGGAAGTTACACTGCATCTCGAAAACTATTACTTTTCTCTGGCATGGAAGATTCCATGGCAGAAAAAAAAGAAAAAGTAATTTTTTCAAAGTACAGTGCAACTTCCGTCTGGTCTAGATTTTTAGTTTTATTTAGAAGAGTGACCTTTGATTTGCAATTAATCTTGTACTGTGTTAAAGATGCACTAACTGCGAGTCACAATGCCTTACCTTAATGCATAGGCTGCAAGAAGGACGAGAGAAAGGAAGGTGGTAACAAGACTGCTGTGAAAAGAAAAATAAAAAAAAATAAGAGGTGTGACGTTAAAAGAGATAATGAAGAAAAGAAATCGTATCTTCGTAGACTGAAACCGGCGCACGTACACCTTTTCTTTAGAGGCACATTTTCTATATAATTCATCGTTTACACGAATCGATCTCTTCTTTTCTTTCCTTTTGTTTTTTACTTTCCCTTTCAGAACGACTTTTCTTCAACTTTCACTCTATCCCTGATCGTTTCTGAAAGGGACAGTAGGAAAAAAAAAGAAAACTAAAAACGAGTTCATGAAAGGGGGGGGGGAAAAAAATCGATTCGTGTAAACTATGAATTATACAGAAAATGTGCCTCCAAAGAAAGGTGTACGTGCGCCGGTTTCAGTCTACGAAGATACGATTTTGTTCCCCTCCCCTTTCAGAACGATCAGAGATAGAGTGAAAGTTGGCACACGACGACTTTTCTTCAACTTTCACTCTGTCTCTGATGATTCTGAAAATCTCCAGGATCAATTTGTGAGCGTTCCCGAGTCGTCGGGGGAACGTCTCCTGGAGATTTACTATACAATATCAACGTAAAGAAGAAGCTGATTAAGATAGTATTCGTGCGGATAGAAAATCGATTTAATACAAAACTGGGTGATATAATGATAGACGTACAATCTACTAGAAAATAGTTAACGATTGGCTCCTCCGCCTTGAAGCCAAAATAGATCTTTATGATTATTAACTATTTTCAAAATCCCGAGGCTCCGAGTCCACTGGATATATTTCAATGCAGGAAAGACTCAGTTCCAGTAGATCCGGAACTTTAAATCACACAGAAACGCACAGTTTGGCGTTCAACTAAAGGTTAAGCTAGGAAAGCTTTCGAAACCAAAACGAACATAGATCTTCACTCGTTATTCTCTTAGTTGAAATACTATCTCTCGCAGCTCCGTGGCCCTAAGCATGGCGTGAAATTAAAGAAACTATCTACGCAATTACAAGTAAAGGTTACAAAGAATGAGGAACAACGTCGTTGAATATCCTATGTACACCTACGTTCGGGGGCTCGTTGAAAGCACACGACGAAATTTAAGAAGACATCCTTCCTCGCACGTTCGACCGCACGAAACGATCCAACAATCTCTCGCGTAGTAAAACGTTAAACAACCGAGCAAAGTAAGAAAGGACAGTTTAGTCCACGAAGAAGACTCGATTCGGCCGAGTTGGATGGATCGTGAAATGCCTCGGTTAAACGTGCGAAATGGAAAAAGAAAAAAAAAAAAAAAATACGACACGTCGCTGTGACAAAGTATAGGATTCAAACGATCCCCGAGCGAATTGTAGGAATGACGTAATGTTTCGTGTGTGTGTGTGTGTGTGTGTGTGTTGCTCGAGTCGGTTCGAGCTTCGAAGGCAGCCAACGTTCAACAACATCGCGCGAAATGCATGAAATATTCATTCGTAGGAGAGAGAGAGAGAGA